AGGCCAATCACGTGAAAGTCCTCCTATGAGTGTAGACTAGGTCTACACCACAGATTAAGGACTCTCAAAGTTTTCGCGTGATTTTCACGTGATTATTAGGATTTTTCAAAAATACTCTATATACAATCAACCTTCAAGAACATTTACTTTAAAATATTAGCATTATAAGGAAAAAGATTGAATTATAGCACTTCTTCAAGTCTATCTTTATTAAATGTAATTTATGATATTTACGAAATTTACAGCTATAATACAACGAAAAAAAATTAATTTGCGGACTTTTTTACTAAATATATCGTAAAAAAAAAAGAATACCCTATAAAACAAGATCGATAAGTATGTGATTATCATAAAATCTCAAAAATCACGTAATATCCGAGCCCCATCTTTTGCTGTGAGTCCACCCATATCTAACTATAAAATAAATTTTGGTTTTCTTTTTTTACTATATGGGCGGCAGTCAATAGAATAGGGGGCAATCTATATTTTGATAAATTTTTTTTTTAATTGGTCCGCTTGACTGATGAGAACTAAAATTAGCAAAATTTTCAGATTTCCTCTTTTTTACTGACGCCCTCCCATATTATATTATATTACTAACAAGACAAGTCTTAAAGTTTAGATCTGTCAATATTATTTGTTAGTTGAGTCATCTTATGTAATCGGTTAATCGGATTAATGAAAATCATTTTCTTTTGGCGTTTTCCGATTATTTCATTTTACTTAAATGCAATAGGGAACGATTTCGGAAACCATTGTGTAACGAAAGGGGCCAACCACGTATCGACTCAAATTTTGCGCGGAGGACACCTCGTGGAACCAATGCATATTATATTTATTATTATAAATAAATACAAATCTAAAAGACGTTTCAAGGGAGTTAACCTTGAAAAATATATGGACAATTATTATTTATTATGTAATTGATTGTAATAATAAAGAATAGATAGATCAAATTCGATAAACAACTTCTTTTTATGCGGTAAAAACTAAAAAATAATTTTTTTATTTTATTAAAGTATAGATTTATCGTTAAAAATAAAAAAAAATGGCAAGTAATAAAGAACTAACTGTTTTGAACGCGGAATGATGGTCGGATTTCCTAGAATTTTAAAGAACTTTTGTGAAAAAGGTCTCACAGATGTTGCTTCTTGATCTGGAAGGCCACCTCTCTTAACATAGCGAGAATAACAAACTTTTATACGTCACATAAAACAAATACGGAAGAAGAAATTTGACATATTCTCTTAATGGCCAGCTCAATGCTCCGATATTACCCAATTGAGCATTTAAGGGACAATAATAAATTTAACAATTCATTGAGAATGACAATAGTAAGTCCTTTTTTTTTTTTTTTTGTTGCACAGTCTTCGGTGGTTTCCTTTAGCACTAGTTTAGGCATTTTCCGGTAAAATTCAAATCGAATTGTTTCAAAATTTATTTTCATTATTTAATAAAATTTATATCTTCTGGTTTCGAACTTTTTAAATCTGTTAATTAGACATCCTATGATTTCCTTTCCATACACTATTTACCAAATTTTCAGAATATCATCTTCAATTTGTAACGACTTTTCCATGTTCTCTTTTGTTTATTGGTTCATGCTCATGTACTTTCTTTCAAGATGATATATTTGGCATTTATTTATTTATATTTTATGTAAACATATTAATGAAAGTATCATGCTTATATAAACAAGACAAATGAGATTTTTTTTTTAAAATATGTACGTCGGATTGGCCAAATAAGGTTAACATTAGAAATAAATCTTTGTAACGAATATTTGTAAAATTGAATGTGAAGGTCCCTTTATTTAATTTATATTAATCTTATTCAATTTTTTCGGTTGCAATTAGACAATGAAATAAATGTTTATTGGTGAAATGAAAAGGAAATGATCTGCAAATCATATGAAAGAAAATTTGTTTGCGTGCCGTTCGGCAAATTCCGCAAATTTCCTTCTTTTAAAAAAAATATTCCAATTCTTCATGACGATTTGTTATAGAAATTAAATTCGAGAATAAATACTTAGTACAATCTTTTGTAAATCGTTTAAGGAACAATTATTATTTTACTAATTAAACTAAATATACAATAAAAAATAGAAAAGATCAGATGATAATCCGAAATGGTCATCATTTTCACTAAACCTACCTAATTTTCAAGAATTTTCTCAACTTCTGACTTATATCGGTAATTAGGATTATTCTAAATTATAACGATAATAATGAGTAAACTTTTTAGTATAAAATTTATTAAAAAGAAAAATTTACCTTGCAATATTGCTTTAGATTTTTCCACTTATTCTCACACTGTTCAGGAAGATATCGATTTTCATCATCTGATACAGTCATCGAGGCATTATCCCAAAGCTTTTTTTTAATATTACCACTACCGCCACGCTTTTCTCTTAGTTCTTTTAAAACTTGTTTGTGTTTATTTAAATAGGCAAATAACGATATAACTCCTTTTTCAGTCCACTTAATTCGAGATTTTTGTTCATTAGAAGGTTCCGTAATGGTATATGATTCTTTCATAATGAAAGTGACGTATAAAAATCGAGTCAGTTCAAAAGAATTTATGAAGTTTAAATATGATCATTTACCTTGAACTAAATCCACAACACGAGGAAAACTACTTGAATTATTTTGTTGAGTAAAAAAGGTAAACGTATTTGCGTAAGGGCTTATCATATTTTCGCGAGCTTGATGATCGTTATATGAAGAAGCGAGAGGTCGTAAAGAATAAAGTGGAACTATGGTTTGATTGTTAATGCTAATGCCATCTTGTTGATACAATAATTGAGTTTCATAAGACAAAACTCCATCATCGATTTGCGCATTATTATCAAAGGATAAAATATCAAGCGTACTTTGAACATTGTTTGCGTATCGTGGTGGCTGAATTGGGTTCATGTTGTGAATGCCTTTTAATTTTTATAAAAGAGAATCTTTAGTGTACTTATTATCTATTTTATTTTTCTTGATATTGAAGAAATGTAATAATTCTCTAAAAAGTGTTGATATATTTCTAAAATGACCTAGTAAATTTTATGTATGTTTCGTTTGTAGGTTTACGAAAAGAACGCAGACTTATTTATAAGATATTTAACGACTTCTTTTGTGTGACTTGCGATATGAGCCTCTATCATGTGTGATTGAACTGAGAAAATAATTCATTTGTATACAAATTTCGCGTTTAATGACTAATTTTTTTCTCAGGAAAAAAAAAAGTTTTATTTATAGTGTAAAAACTCAATTAGAAAGGATCATATTTTTATTTGTATGACATTTGATTTATTTAACTGACTGATAACAATTTTACTGGATAGATTGTCGTTATAAAAAAAAAATTGTTTAGAGACATTATGCGAGGGTTATCGTTTTGTGAATCTTTTGTGTTAATCGCGTGACCATCGCGCATAATATATGTAAGCTTTTTTTAAAAATATATAGTTTATAGTTTAATGATAAACGTATAACCCAGTTTTTAAATTTAGTAAACGGATAGGGTTATGTCTCTTGATTTCGCGTATAACCATAAAGAAACTGAAATATGTGCGCCAACGACAATTTACATGCCGATCACGAGGTTCATCCATAAAGCCGGAAAATGTTGATTAGTATTGTAATGTCATTCTCTTAGAATTTAGCCGAGTAATCTTATTATTAATTTGTAATATTGGAAGATTTTAATTAAACCACCAATGCGCGATTGTTTCCGATACAAAGAAATGCAATAAATAAATAAAGAATCTTATTACATATTTTCCTAATAATTTGAGCACCGCATTAAATTATTCTTCAAGAATCCATTCTTTTTTCTTTTTATAATATTTTTTAAATCGAGTGTTAGGCTTTTCTTGCTTTGATATATGTAAACTTTATGTGTGTATACGCTACACCACAACGGATGAAAGCAATCGTCTGCTTTAAATCATATACCCAAATGCTCGATCAAAAAAGAAAAAAATTGTGAAGATCTGTATATAGTATATTGATACGATAAAAAAATAAATAATCCTCACCCTTACATCCACAAATCAAATTTGCGCCGAAATATGTTGGACTCATTTTTATTTGCTGCAGGTCCTTTATGATGAAAGTAATGAAAATTTTATCAAATAAAGGAATATATTCATCGGAAAGTTATATACATTGCAGATTTATTAGGTAAAAAAGAGTTACAATGTTCATGCTAGAAAAATCCGATTTTTATGTTTATTGTGAAATTACATAAGGTAAGGCTTTTGAAAAAATATATATATATATATATATAATTCTTATAAGGTAAAAGATCAGATCCAAAGTTCGGCCGATATTTTTAATGTCAATCTTCCACATCAACAACTTCCCGACAAGCGATAAAAGTGAAAAAAAGTGATATCAGCGTGTTAATTTATTTTGAATCTAGAGCGTAACTTAACGATCCATATATGATAGATAAAAAAAAAAAAAAATAGCGGATCTTAATTTAGATTAATTTGTCACTAAATATACAGAAATACTTAAATGTATATTAAGCAAAATTTACCAGAGTCGAACGTAACAGCGAATTTCCCATCTCGACTAATCGCGATTTGGTGTTGATTTTTAGAAACTGATGTGTCATTATATTTTGCATTTTAATATTAAGTGATATATATCACATTTTTGAGTAAATTTATTTTATTTTTGGTAGTATTTTGGGACGCGTTGTTTTCGGCGTTAGGGCGCACCTTCGAATTAGGGGATGCAGCGTATGTATTTGATATTGTCCATTAAGCATAAAGCATAAAGCATAAATTTGTTGTTAGTTGATTTCCAAATAAAGTTAAGCAACGTGCTAATTATCAATTTTATCATATTTTATTTTTGTATTATTTTTATTAATTAAAATTTTTATTATATAATAATTTTTTATAAAAAATCATACATTTTTTGAATTACTTCTAGCAATGGTCGTTCTGTGGATTTGTTTATTACCAATTTTGTGTTACGTAAATATGGTTAGCCATGTTATCGAAATTAACCCATATTATCGGAAATTATTCTTCGGACCAGGACGGTTTCCGTTCCCTAGGATAAAGAATTTTAGTTTTTATCAAATTTGCAAAATTTATTCAGCTAATTTTTATTAAAATTAATTTAAATATTCATAAATATATAAATAACATTGAAAAGATTTTTATGTTTTTAATTTTATAATATGATTTTAGTACTTTGGTTAAATAAAATAGGATAAGTGAAGGTATTCACTAAATATCATGCTATTTAAATATCAATTTTATTAATTTATTGTAAAGTACATATATTTATAAATTTAGCATTTGGATAAATGAAGCAGGTCTTGAACAACAAAATATTTGTATCTAATGGAAAAAAAATTTACATCCAATCAAATTAATTGAATTATGTCACATTTATTTTATTGGTAATGCATAATGACGCAGTGGCGAAGTAAAAATGGTTGAACGAAGTTTTAAAAAGCCGAGCCGAAACCATAAATCAATAGAACATGTGATCATTTGAAATTGTATTGACAATAATATTTCAACAAAAAATAAATAAATAAATAAATAAAAAATAGAGCTTAGATCCGGATTATCTCAAAGAATGAGAATTATCCGGATATAATTCCTTTAACTCAATCCGGATAACAATTTTGGATATTCATTGGATATTCATTGGATATTCACTACGCCTTTACGGTAATTTATTAAAGCTATCGGCTATTGGCTGTTCTAAATGTAACCAATTATCTATTACTTAATGAAACATTCTACCTACAATCGGCCCGTTTCTCTTTATATAAATTAGAAACCCAAATAAATTATGCTTTATAGAGGTGCGTTTGGCAGTCATAATATTTCCCTTCCCACATACCTAAATAACCTTTCACTTGTAGCTGATGTGGCCTGTACTGTCAAATATTTTCGTGCTAAATCAGATAAAATTGGAAATTCTTTTTTTATGTATATCCACCATTTTAAAGCATTGATACTTTTTGGTTGCTGAGCAATTGTTAAATATCGGTCAATCTCATCATTTTGATTCAAAATACTTCTTTGATAAAGGCGATTTTTCTTTTTATTTGCTCCTAATAAACTATTATCAGAATTTTCATTCACTCTTATAAAACTTGAAGATTTTGCATTTTCATATGCATCCTCATTTGTAGTAAATGCCAAGTTTTCCATCTTGGATCTAGTATTACTGCCAAAAGTCCTTCTTTTTCAATAGCAGGAATATATGATTGTAATGCTTTATACAAATCGGATTTAATGGAATTTACTAATCCATTAGTATTTACAGGATTATTGATTTTAATCTTTCTTGTAGCTCCATGTTCATTTTCTTACATTGCGTCTTCAAAATTATGTTCATCAAATGCATCATCTGGTGATTCTAGATCAATATTAGCTTGCATATTGTTTGAAACTAATGCGCAAATTCTTTTTTAAGTTTTTCAATAGCTGGATATATAAAACCCACAATCATTCACGAGATCTAAGCTCTAATAAAAAGAGTATCGAATAAAACGTAATATTCATAACCTATCGACTAAATTTCTTTTTTAAATATAACAATAACTTTTCCAATTTCTATAGAAGACCTCATTTCATATTTTAAAAAAATAATATGACTAGTCTTCTTCGAGGACCCAACCGTTCATTATATAAAGAATTTACCCCATTTGCATATTTCTCTTATCAATTAGGACGAGAAACTTTTCAACTAAGTTATCTTGGTATTTCAAACAAGGTTTCAATCGCTGGTTTGTTAAACCTTAGATTTCTTGCACAACAACCTTTATATGCAAAACAAATACATAATACAAGGAATAGGACCAAAGTTTAGATTATGATACAAATCCAATCCGTATGAATTATGGAAATGTTCGGATGATAAATATCGTCAAATCTATGCTTTCAGTTCTTTTCGTTTATATTTATAAACAAATTTTTGTGTAAGCAGAAGGATTTATTAAGTAATTGTTATATAATCGTTATGCAAAAATGTTTCAATAAGGCCAGTTAAAGAAAATTTTTAGATTCTCGTGACATAAATTTTAAAATTGATACGGTCACCCGAATTTTTTTTTTCACATGTAAATTTTTTTATATGTATTTTATGATATATGCGGTGATTCTTTTGAAGCTTAAGCAAATTCAAGCACAGAAATGAAAGATATTAATGATGATATAAGGAGAATTTTTGAAAATGTATAAATTGATGATAAATTGACATGTAGAAATCCCATGGAAGTTTATTTGAAGATATTTGCTTTCAATGTGGAAAAGTATCGGAAAATGATTGTGAATGTGATGAATCTACTAAAGTTAATGTGATGAAGTATATTACTATTGTTGCAATGAATGTCATACAACAGTTTTAAATAAGAAAACGCCGTGGTAAAGATGTTAAATTTCAAGTAACAAAAAGGTCACGAAAAAAATATGTAACAAATTCACATTTTTCGAATTTATCGTCAAGCCCCAGATTTATGGTAGTTACAAGTGAATCATGGTACCACATCACCTCATTTATCACGTTTTCGTCTTTTATGATCTCATGCACGTGAACAATACTTCAGTTTATTATGTAATGTCACGTGATAAAAATTTACTTGAAAAAAAAAAAAAAAAAAAAAAATCCTGAATTTTCGTAAAACTGACAAGGACGGCATTAATTCAATATATCAATATTGACTAAACGTCGGCGCTCTATATTTCGTTATGTCAATTTATTAAATTCAATGAATGCTAACTAATTTAAAGTCTAATTAATTAAAATAAACTACGCAATAATTACAAAATCGGAAAAATCGGAAAAAATAGAAAAATTATAAATTTAAAATGGCGAAAGGGATAATATCGCAAGAATCGTAAGAGAAAACAAAGAAGGGATTAAAGGAATTTATGTGTTATTTCAAGAGGGGCGGGTGATGTATTTTGGGTTTTTTAAGAAATCCGCCATATTTATATAAAAAAATTATTAGGACAACCGACCAAATTGATATGAATTTACCACTTGAAATTCCACTTCCTATTGACATACCTTTAAGTATGTCCATATAAAGGACGAGGAAAATTGAATATCGTCTTCGAGCCGTCATATCAAATGACACGAGGAATTAAATGTGAAATGCTTTTAATAATAATGTTTTCGGACCTTGTTGTCCAATTGTAATAAGTTTGAATACGATCCTCGTGTTTCTTTAGAAGATATTGTAGTAGGTTTAAGAGAATATATTGTTATTCAGGCCAACGTGAATTTGATATTTAAATGAAGAGTAAATATAAGCTGAAAACAATTTTAAAAGATAAACAATATATTAATGGCATCAGAAGCACAGCATAGGGAATGTACAACGGATATTAAAATTTACAAAACCAGATGATTTTGTTGATAATCTGTCATGGTCGCATAAATAAAGTCATACATAATATTGAGGTTTCTCATAAACTTAAATCAAAGTTAGGTTCGGTTTATTTAACAAATATAGATATTCCAGTAAAAATTGTAAATATTTTACAAATAAAAATATAAAATTTTCGTTTTCTATAATAAATTTAAATTTCCTAATTAAGACTGATCTGTAAATATATTATTGTTAACAACTAAAAAGGCTGTCAGAACGTTCACGTAACCCTAAATAAGTAACTACTACGACAATGAAACATAAAGTTGACTTTTTTTTTTTCCAACAAAATAATTTTTTCATGAAATTTCTTGTTATGGATGCACAAAATTTAAATAATAATTACTTTGAGTTTCAAAATAAAGAACTCGAACGCATCAATGATACCGTAAACCAACATGAAGAGATGATCAAGAAAATTTCTGAGAGATTTAAAACAAACTTGGAAAACCTTCATATTGAAAGCACGATTCAAGATATATATTTAAAGCAGCATAATGAATATTTTGATCTCATCAAACAACTCTTTGAAACGTATATAAAAGCCGAAGAAAAATTGACAAGACTTCGAATTGAAAACATAAACCTCAAAGCTAAACTTGACGATTATCCCAAATTTCAAGATAATTATTTAAAAATGCTTGATGAAAATAACGTGCTTAAGGGAAACCTCGCTGAAATTTCAAAAAAATATAAATGGTCCAAGGAAGATGAGGAAATTTTTAATCTTTTCGTGTTTTTATTACTGTTGGGATTCGTTTGGCTCGTGATCTTTGTATAAGAATCCGACTTGAACTTTATTGATATGATGATGTAGATGAATTAATTTTTTTTTTTTTTTTTGAAATTGTTCTCATTAGAAAATGTATAGGATATGTTACAGATGGATATGGATTAATTTGTTCTTTTTATATTGTTGTCTTATTTTACTCAACACGATTTCCCGTGGTTAAAAATTTTAATAAAAATTAAAACGATTTTACCTTCAAGTTTATAAGAATGTTCAGTTTCTGCCCCGAACAAGCCACAGATTCATTGGATTAATTGACATTCACTATGATCCCATAAACAAATATTTAAAAGAATTATTCGATACGATTCTACACTTCGTTAGACATGAATTATGTCACTAATAAAAAAAGAAATACACAAGTTATTTTACGATATCGGTAAAATTACTTGAAATGTTGATCTTAATATTGTATAGAATCTCGAGATTTCTAATAAGGAATCGACCATATCCTTTTTACCATATACAAAAAGTTTTTGATTTTACTTAAATATGTATCGAACACGAGGAAGCTCCACGAGGGATTATTAATTTATATTAGCGCCTTTTTTTTTTTTTTGTGAACAAAAAAAAAGAAAAAAAAAATTTCGCTAAAAAGAATTCACTTGAATATTATGGATGCTCCAAAAACTACTAATGATCGTGGAAAAATACAAAGAAAACCTTGCACTACGTACCGACGACACAACGCTCAATAATGGTATGATTCAAAACGTCTATTCCACTAAACGTGTCAAAGAAATTTTTGCAGAATACATAAAATCTGAGGAAAGTTTGGCAAGGCTTCGGGTTGAATCAAATCTCAACTTGACAATTATCCCAAATTTCAAGATAATTACATAAAGTTACATGGCGAACATTATGAGCTTGCGGAAAGATATCATAAGTTGGAGAGAAAAGTGGATGTATCTCGTTTGATTTTGTTAATATTTATTATTGTTATTTTTGTTCCTATTGGAATTGATGCTTCTAGGTAATGGTATTATATTGTAAATAGAGTAAGATAGGTAGGAATGAATATTTGTGCATTGATTTGTTTTTTTTATATGTATATATTAATGAGAAGAAATTTAATTTATCACAATAAATTGATTGAAAATGGTTGGTCCTTAACAAACATCATTTATTGAATACTGAGTTTTTATTATAGCACACATTTTGAGATGAAAGATACATTCGTTACAATGTAAAATGATTTTCTTTGATTTATAAATATGCATGTGAATTAGACCATGCTATAAACATTGTAATTATGGCTTGTCCGATTAACAGGAACCCTTAAGGAACCCTTAAGGAATCATGAATTAATTTTTCTTCGTGTATGCTGGTCATTTGACAATAGTTTTTAATTAGTAAAAAACATTTATATTAAATCTCTTAAAAGAAAAAATTTTTTTACGCGATACATTTAATTGTCACGTGATTCTTTGAGCTAAAAACGTACTTTTATTACCACATGTCTAGGGTACTTTTCTATTTTTGTAATGTAGAATTAGTGCAGCAGGAACTTTGTAAAATGTGTTCTCAAGAATTATTGAAAGAACTATTAAAGAAAATATAAAGACAAATGATTTCCATTATGCCGGTGACATCTTGTAGATAAAAGGAGTATATAAGTGAAAATTAAACATATTCTGTCTCAAATCAACAAAATACAACCTAAAATTATATTTGCCTCTTTATGATTTGAAATACCTCATAATCATATATAGAGAACACCCCTTCGGTATCCCTTATCTTTTTTTCATAATAAACTTTTTTACAATAAATGTCGTCGTATTCACCAATTCCTATAAAGTCGTCACTTGATGAACATATCATAAGATCACCGCCAAAACATGGTCCACATAGTTTGTAATAACTTAATGCATGATTTACATTCTCAACATTGCTAACGATCGCATCCTTGATCACTCTATCCTTCTTTTTAAATGAAAATATAAAGCTATCTTTAGTTTTACCCCATCCATTAGTAGATTTCCATCTCAAAGGATTATATCCTCCCAGTATTTCCCTTGTTTCTTTTACTTTAATAAAGGTGACGGTAATCGGTTTATCATCGCATAAATCATGAAATGATTTTGGATTAAATCCATCTTGACTCCCTCTCAATAGTAATTCAAATTTGTATGGGAGATATAATTCTCTTAAATGAGAGAATTTAATATTAACGTCCACTTTATCAATCCATCTTGAAATCATTGAAACAATATTTATATTAATGATTTTTGAGTCAATGATGTTATTGATTTTGATGCTCCTGGGGAATAAAATGTCGTCAATTGGTTCATTATCAGGATCCAAATAAGAATTTAACAAGTTTTCATAAAGTTGAAGCTTTAACAATTTTTGAAATGGTCGAACCTTTTGTGTGAATTCTTTAGATGATAAACTAAAAAATCTGATCAAAGGTAAGCATCGTTGTAAAGTATTCTCCATCATTTTGAAATCATCATCCGTCCAAGTTGCGGGATCTGAGATGAGCGTTGGATTTCGTGCTTGTCCCCACCTTAATACATGTCCCCAAATTTCAACCTCCTTCATATGTAAATCATCTCTCTTAATGATTGATAGTAATGATTTTTCTGGAAGCAAAGAGAAATCAAGTGATTGGAATATTTTTTCGGGTGATTTAACCATTAAATCCGTACAAAATTGTTGAAGAACCAATAAATTAGTTGATTGAAAACTTGTTTTATGAGTGAGTTCAAAATGTTGTTCCATCCATTTCGATTCATTTTCAATTAAATACTTTTGTAAATAATCAACGAGTTCTTGAAGTAGAAGATGATCAGCGGCTTTCAAGACCTTAAGGATTCCTGAAGCGTCTAATTCACTTGACGATAATATACCACCATAGATATACCTATATGATAAAAAAAAAAAAAATTCAAAATTTTTAAATCAATAAAAAAAAAATAAAAATAAGAAGATACAATAATATTTTATTTGAATTAAACTCACATCAAAATAACTTGAAAGATATCCGGTGATATATTTGGCAACTTACAATGAGACAAGACATCATCAGCATTTTTTTGGTTTGAAGCCAAAGCTCGTCGCAAATACGGGGAACGATAGCATAAGATATTCATGTGCGCGCGGAATATTTTTATATCAGGATCTTCACCAACTTCAATCGTAACATCGTAAAATTCATCATCTTCCAACAACTTGATATAGCTTTGGCTTAATTTTATTAAAAATTGGTCATGCATTTCAATTTGTTTGAAGAATGGGAGAATGAAAAAAAAAAAAATAATTTATGGATTTTTTTTTTCAACAACCATATTTAACCTAAAAATTGACGTAAATCTTTCCAAATAAAAAAAAATCCACGTTTGTTATGACCATCTATATTTTTATATTTTTGCAACAAGTAGATATATAAAAGCTTCATTTATAATCCTAGGCTTACATAATTGCACAATTCCACAATCTACAATCAAATACTTTAAAGCGCGTTTATCTTTCTTACTTTCATCAATTATTTGGAATAAATGACATATTGACGGCAATAAACGAGTTTACGATTTAGGCGATTTAGGAAAATATTTTAAGCCGTATTAAAAGAAAGCGCAGAGTTCTATACGCGTCATGAAATTTCTTGTAATTTCTATATGGGGATATATAAAATATGTGCAGCTGGTGCACATGCCATTACATGTTATTTTACCATGGTTATATTAAGAGACTAACTTTATTAATTACTTTTACGACTCCTCACAGCATAATTTTCAATTTGCCACGTAACTTTTATAAATTTCGTGCAATAAAAGATCTCGTATACAACACGCAAACGTCAGAATAAATACTTTACTCGCATCATTAGGTTACACTGCTATAATTCGTATGTCAGGCTGATTCTAACGATAATAACATTCTTAATAGCAATAAAGAAATCGATAATACTTATTCACGTAGAAATCGTTTTTACTTCATGTATTCTTGTTCAGGATGCCGGTGGAAATATAAAAAAAAAATCCTTAACAAGCTCTACTATTATTTTTAGTGACTCTTATTATTTTATTTGATATATTTGAGAAGCTCTATCTTATTCTTTGGTTAATATAATCAAATGTTACATCTGCAATATTGCAATATGTATATGCGATAAACGAAACATCCTTTTTTCGAAACCAATATTTAAGAAATGAACGAGCTGTAAAAAGAATAAAATAAAAATAAAATGTAAAATTTCAAACTACAGTAGCGGTCATAAGTATCTGACCCCTCATATTCTTAAAGTTAATTAATAATATCTATTAAATTTTTTTTTAAATTTAAATTCAATACTAACCTTGATAATTTGTAAAATTATAAATTTTTATCATGTATCATTTAGAAGTTAGATGATCGGTAGATTTTATATATTTCAAAAAAAAATAATCTTTTTTTATGTAAATAATTTCATTTTTTATTATTTAACGCCTAAACTCCTTAAATATGTAGATTATTTCTTTAATATATTAATTTTTTAGAAATTATTATACATTTTTTATAGAATTTTAGACAGATTACACAGACATTTAGAGAACTTCAATAATACTGTATTCTTTCTTTTAATTTTTAAATAATGTTTGTATTTATTAACTTTTTACCAAATTTACTCTAAGTTCTCTTTTCTAAAAAAATTCACAGATACAGTAGCGGTCATAAGTATCCGACCGCCCGAGATCGTCCAAAATTATTATATAACTACCCCTTAAATTTTCCAG